GCCCTGTCGTGCATGTTACTCCACCGCTTTCGTATGACTACTCACTTACAATCTTACACAAGTCCTTGCCTTCTTATTAGGGGTTCTCTGGGGTTGTACAGTAGAGGAAGTGGTTCTACCTTTGCGTCCACCCTGACATCGTCCAGTCTCACTCGGATCGGACGTTTTGGGGTGTGTTTTAAGCTCAATGAATCGATTGATCCAAAAAATCCGCTGATCGGGTTCCCTGCCTGCTTCGTTCCGAAGGTACTGCACCAATAGTCGTGGTTCTGCGCGTGGGGTGTTTGGAAGTCCAGGCCAAAGCCATGTTTTTGTTGCAGTCGAAGAAGTGGGCTTTAAGAGTTCAGTTATTCTACAGGCCGCGACTCCATCATCGTCATCATCTGTCGATTTGACACTCTACATCGACGTCCACCGCCGCACCTCTCTGAACGTGGCAGGATCCTTCTTGGAGCACCTGCACATTGACGTCCAATTCGAACCGCCGGATCCCTTCGACGGTCGAACCACCGATCCAGCCCTGAGGTCCCAGCTCATTCTCACAGGCCACCATTTGGTAAGAGCAGCACCACAACTGGCAGGCTTTGAAGATCCACTCCCATCAAATCCCAGGTGGAGAGAACAAATCTGCAGCCATCGCTCTTAGGTTGGGTTCCATCGCTCTTAGATCTCTTAGGTTGGAGGTCATCGCTACTAGGTTGGAGGTCATCCCTATTTAGGTTGGAGGCCGCTAATTAATTACACTTCCTAACATGGGATGTTCTACGTGAGGGGTAGGAAGCTATTAGTAACAAGTGCATCGCTACTAGGAACAAGTGCCTTACTAGTAGTAGGAACAAATCTGAAAAAGCCGATCTTCTGTCGTCAGCTTCTGCATCGCTGAGCAATGGGTGGTTCGAGGGAAGGGTGTTGCATGGAAACAGGCCGCTGAGGTGTCTCCATGTGCCTTCATTCATTAAACAAAGGATAGAACCGTGGAAGTAAACCATAGGTTTTCAATGGTTTTCACATCAAACCAGTCACTCAAGGTGGCACAGAAATGCACAGCACACGTTCCTCTGCCCAAACATGTGTCATAGTCTTGAGCCAAGTTATCTACAGACCTCTCACCATCTTTCACCATTGTTCGATTTCACAACATCCACACCTTCTTGTGGCTCTGCCAGTCTCTCCTCAGAGATGGAACAAGAGCAGCACACAACAAGAACTACTACAAGGTGTAAAATATATATAGTGAAAAGAAAGTGGACCAAAACCTGAAGAGGGCTGGGTCTTTTTGAGCCATATCATATATGCATATATATATACAGGATACATATACATACATATATGCATATATATATATACGTCATATATGCCATAGATGGGCCGGCACTCTGAACTTTTACTTGAAACACAATGGGCAGGTCGTAAGTATCTATAGTACAGGTATCTCGTGCACAACATGATCAAAGAACTGAGAATCAAGAAGTTCTGAACCAACTTAAACAGTTCCCTGTCGTTGGAGTTGGGCCAGTTGTGGAGGTAATTGATCCAGTTGACTTGAGAGATTCTTACCTTCCTTGCTCCAAGTCGCCAATTTTCAAGGTCCTCCATGCACTGGTAGGGTGGATCGCCTAGGCCCAGAAACTGGCGGCTAAAACACGGGGAAACTAAGGTCCTGAGGTTATCGAATACCTCGCCTCTTGCCACTGGAGACGTGTGTAAAAGAAAACACAAAGTTGTCTCCATGAGGGAACATCACACAGTCCGCTCCTTTGATACCAACTAGAGAGAGAAAGATGACCTGAGAGAAAGGCAGCCAATGGAGAACTTGTCGCAGCACCATTCTCGATGCTCCTGCATGAAGAAACGGCCGCTCCCCTGTCTCCTTTCCAAATAGAACTCAGGTCCCTTCCCAGATGTTCGAGATCGAAGAAAAGCCAGGAACGACAGCTGGGACTCCAAGTTCTAGCTGCATGGAAGGCGTCTCCACAACCAGAGTGGAAGCTCACCAAAACACTTGCGGAGATCATTGCAACATGAAAGCGTGCCTGTTCTAAGCGTGAACTTGTTCTAAAGCGGCAAAACTGGTAAAGTCTATCGATCCACCCAGAACCTTTACCTCCCAAAACGAAACGCCTTGTGTCTATGGGTCTTGTCACCACATAACATGTGCAAGGCTCAAATTGTAATTACTAGCTTCTTGTTACTACTAGTAAGGCACTTGTTACTAGTAGCGATGC